CCAGAGACTCTGGTCACTTTATCCACAGATTTCTTCCAGGCCAGGCATTGTACATGATTCTTCCTGTTTTCACCTAATTAATGCCTATTTTTCTTTTCCTTTATGATCTCTGATTAGGTTTCAAGTACTTATTATAATCTCCCTCTGCATCATCAAGTTCTTTGTGAAATTTTGTGATTGTTCATTTTTGTTGTTTTTATGTTTCCTTCTAAGCATAACAGTATACAGTATTGACTTGTACCCTAGTGCCTAGCAAAATTATAGTTATGTTTCTTAAAGGAGTGAATTAGAAAGGACACAAACATATTATGCATGAGAATTTACTGTGTTCATTTAACTATCAAAACTCTTAAGTCTCATTTTATGAATAAGAAAATTGGGACCCAGGAAGGTTTGTGAGTCATTTAAACTTTTTTGTTCTTTTTCCCTCTTTCCCATTTTCCCTTCTCCCCACCTCCTTTTTTTTTTTTGCTTTCCTTCTCTCCCTTTTATTGCTTCATTCCTCCTGTCTCTCCTCCTTCCAGCGATTTTGTTGAGGTATAGTGAACATGCAAAATACTGTACATATTTAAAGTACAAATTGATACATTAGGACATATGTATACACATATGAAGCCATCACTACAGTCCATCATTCCTCCCTCCTATGCGTCCCTTTAATTGACTATTCATTTGCTTTTAGCAATTAGGGTAGTTAACATTTTCTGGAATTTTTTATAAATGGAATTAAGTAGGATGTACTGTGTTGTCTAATATTTTTACACCTTATATTCATTTTGAAATTAATGGTTATTGTAATGAATAATTATTGATACATATTTTCACATGTATCAGTGTCTTTGTTTAGTAGTTGACTTATGGATATACCACTTTTCCATTCTTATTGAAAGGAAATTTTACTTTTTTGAATTTTGTTAATAGGTATTTTTTGATTCTTGTTACTCAACACTGAGATTCATTTTTATTGTGTTTACTGTGTTTCATTTTATTGTGTTTATTGTTTCATTTGATTATAGTCCCATTTTCACCTAATAAATGCCTATTTTTCTTTTAGAGTTGATATCACTTCTCCAAGGGTGCCTTTCTTGATCTCTGATTAGGTTTCAAGTACTTATTATAACCTCCCTTTGCATCATCAATTTCTTGGTGAAACTGCAGTGGATGACCAAAATGTATTCATTTACTATGGTTTAAATTTGAGTTGTTTCCAGTTTTTTGCTAGTACATGTAATATTATTTTGAATATTCTTGTATGTGTTTTATTACATACCTGTTTTTTTATACATAAGTAAATTAGGTGTGTTTGTGTGTGTATGCTCGGCAATAGAATTGCCAGTTCATAAAATTTGTGTATGTTCACGTCTGATAGATAATGCCAAAAATTTTTCCAAGGTTATTTTACCATTTTGCACCACTGGGAGCTTTGTGTGAGAATTTCAGTTATTTCATGTCCTTGTTAACACTTGATATTATTTTCTAATTTGAGGTATTCTGATAGTAAAGTCGTATGTCACTTGATAAGTCAGTCAGTGGTGGATTTTGCATGTAATATAGGCTATAACATGTAGCCTACGTATGTAAGAGGATATACTATTTATGTAGCTTTATATAATTATACCCTCTGACATTTGCCCAATGACACTGTCACCTAATGACACTTTTTACAGAATGTACCCTTTCATTAAGGGACACGTGCTATGGTAATATCTCATTGTGATTATAATTTTCATTTCCTGATAAATAATGAGTTTGATCATCTTTTCATATGTTCATCATTTTCATTTTCTCATGTGAAGTATACCTGTGCATTTTTTGCCTGGTTTTGTTTTTACCCCTCCTTTAAACATAAATTGAATGTAAGTTACCATTGATGGATGAATTGGATAAACATGTGGTCCAATTCATTGATGGATGAATTGGATAAACATATGCACAATGGAATATTATTCTTATGTAGGTGGACCTGAGGACATTATGTTAAGTGATTAAGACAGAGAAAGATAAAACTATATAATCTCACTTATGTGAATTCTGAAAAAAATAACCAAGTTTTCCCTTTAAAAAAATTTGCTTATGCATATAGGAACTGGGGTACAGACCAGAGGTAAGTAGGGGTGAGGCGTCACCAGAGACAAAGTGGGGAGCAGAACAGGTGGGTTTGTTACAGGTTAGCCCAGAGTGATGGGTGCTCACCCATGCATTTAAAATTAACTTTCTGCAGACACACACAAGAGGGTAATGGGTTTATTTACAAAAGGGGAAGTATACAAAGTAATGAGAGAGAGAGAGAGAGAGAGAGAGAGAGAAAATGAAAATTTTCTACACCTTGAATAACATGGAGTCATTCCTTTTGCCACCTATGCCATGTACCTTCTTGTCTATAAGGATGGAGATACTGTGGACATCAAGGGGATGGGCACTGTTTAAATGTTACTACAGTTTATCGTAGTAAAACTGGGAGTCTAAAATGTCTAAAATAAAAAAGTAAGACAT